TCTACCCTCTTCCGCCCATTGTGAGAAGAGGTCATCCGCCCCCCCCACCCCCCCGCCCCGGGGGTGGGCGGGGGGGATGATGGTGGGAGTTGAAGTCCACTCATCTTAAAGTGGCCAAGTTTGGACAACACTGACTTAGACTATTTCTGAGACTGTTAATCTCTGCCTTGAAACAAAGGCTTCATCAACAGTCACGTGTAGAGCACTGGGTTTGCTAGTTGTACGTAAAGTAAACTGCATTATTTTAGCAGATAATTTTAAAGAGCGTTTGACAACACTTACTTCATTGTTGGAAACAATGTCAGTCAATATGTCCATGATTGCAATATTAAAAAGTGGTAAGGACAGCAGCTTTGTTCCAGTATATTCTATGGCCACTCATTACAGGTAATTTGCAGCTGGTCATTTACAACATGAAAAGATAATGCCAGTTTTCTTGTACAACTTGATAAGGCAGGTGCCATTGGATAAGCTGGTCAGCTGCACTGCCCTCCTAAGTGTCACAGGAAAAAAATAATATGAACAAACCTCCACCCTGATTTTCCAATCAGAAATGTTGTGTGAATGCAGAAAATGAGGTTAACTGAGCAAACCATGTTTAAGTTGCCTATGAGTCAGAGCAGCACACAAACATCCATTTTATCCTGGACCTTGACAGACTAGCCAGTTAAGTAACCTACTTCACAAGAGAAAAGCAAATGTTCTACCTTAAGTTTTCTAGAAGGAAAATAGGACAGAAAAATGTAGTATATATGTAATGCCTAGCAGCAAAATGGGGTACAAATACAAATGCTATAACATCTATCTACAGTACGTGGAACGAAGCCTAAATATATCGCTATATTTTTTGCTCTGAATTTAGGGGAAGATTAAAAAATGGCTCACCTGGTGCCATAAAGCACTTTCTGATGCTTTTAATCATGGCACAACCACCCACCTTCTCCCATAATTCCCCAAACATCAGATCCAACAGGAAGGTTCTTAAGTGGACAAGCTACTCTAGAAGGGAGGGGAGAAATATCTCTGAATACTTTTTAATTACATAGGATAGCCTTATTTCCGGGTTTATATAAAAAGGGTGTAGTCATCCTCCCAGCTGAAAATGGTCGGAATTCAAGCAAAACTATGTTTTGATAAGTCTAGTTACTTGAGCCACCCTGCTGGCACAGGATTCTGGTTCTGACTTGTAAAAGAAAGCCATTTATTATTGCTAACATGTGCTGTGACTGTTGTTGATCAGTTGAGGGGTTCCTTAGGAATGGGCCACTTTTCTCCATGAATATTTATAAGCAGTTCCTATTTGGGAATCTGAATTCTGTAGGATCTTCTCCTTTGCTTCTTTTAATAACAGGCTAGGTTTGTATCTATAGTTTGTCTCCTCTGTGTGGGATTTAAAAAGGCAAAACTAGTTAAGATTTTTATGCAATCAAAGCAGCTGCTTTTGTTTTTTCCCTCATTTGGCACGGGTATATGACCAGCCACGTTTCTTTTTTGTTTATTTGTTAAAATAGCAGATGTGTATAAAAACATATGCTAGACATGGGACAGCATGCCCTGAATAAATCTGAAGCTCACCTCAAGTTCATAGGTTCAAAATGTATTTGTGCAATGTATGTCCCAAAGGAGGGTTATTCCAAACAAACAAAATATAGAATGTACAGAGGCCTATATGTGGGGTCTTGGTAAAAAAAAATTTAAGTCTACTACTACAAGACATTTTGATAAATAGCCTGAATATTGAAAATGGGCCCAGAGAAGATTGAAGCAATTTACTTTTTTCTGAGATTTCTATATCCTCTTAAGAATCAAATAATCCCCAGGCATGAATGAGATCCTGGATCTCAGTATCTCCTGCCGTTTTTCTAACATGGATCTGGGCCTCAGCCAAGTAAGAATGAGAACATTCTTGGACTCCTCAATTCTGTTTGAAAGGTTGTCGGGGGGTTATTCTCTATATGAAGCTGTCCTCTGTCTGAAGGACTCTTTAGTTTTTGTCCAGTTTAAGGACAAAAAAAAAAAAAGACTTTGAAGTTGCACACTCAGAATAATCAATTTGACAACGGACTGAGTGCATCTAGGCCACATGCATAAATCAGCATATGGGTTTTTCTGCTCATTTGAGTCCTTCTGTATTATCTTCTTTGGTAGCACATTTCTTCTTTTGGAACTCTGTCAATGGTTACTTTACTTAAATGCTTCTATGTATGCCAGATAGGATGCTCATAATGTTCAGCCACCTTGACCCATGCATATGTGAGGATGTTTGCAAAGGCTTCTTATGATCTGCTGCTTTCCTAGCATGAATCAGGTTTCTTACGGGAACTTTGCCTCCGATAAGCAGCCAAGTGTGACTGAATTACGGGGAGGTCTTATTCACAGGCAATACATTCCAAGATCTCTAGACCCTATTTAGCTTAGTGACAGTAACAGAGGAAGCCTCCTTATACCATCTCAGTACACTGGCTCATTTAGTTCAGTATTGTTAACACTGATTGGCAGCAGCTGTCCAGGATTTCAGGCTGCAAGGTTTACCAGGCCTCACTAGGAGCCTTCTGCATATGGAACATGCGCTCTTTCTTAAAAGCTCCTCCCCACAGTGCATCAGGGCCTATAGGTCTATAAATTTAGAATTTATTTAGAAATCCAGAGAACCTTTTCTGGTTGAACAATGGATAAAATATTTGAAACAAATAAGTAATTCAGATACCAAAATCCATTCATCTTTTCTTCAGTTGTTTATTTCTAAAATGGAAAAAAATGCTGCTTAATTCTGTTGCGGCAAACATAATTGTTGCATAGGTTTATGTATGTTGTGAGTTGTGTGAAGCGGTTGCATCAAGGAAGCATACATTTATTTCTCCCTTCACCAAAAACTAAAAATTGATAGCTTACACTGTAACTCTTAGTATATACTTCCATTCCACTGAATTCTGCATATTTGCAGACTGACAGATCCTAGCACTAGCAGTCAAAAGATAGTTCTGTAGGTCCTGCATCTTTTCCTATATAATAAATGTTCAGGAATAAAGAGCAGCAGCAACGGGCAACCTACAAGTGGACTATGCCCTCATTCAGAGTTCCTTGCACGTTGACAATGAGCCTTGTTTAGAGGCAGCCTCAGAGTACAACCTTATATATGCCCAAGACTCAATCCCACAGAGTTCAATGGGACTTACACCTGAAATAAACCAATAACGGGATTGCCTCTTAAACCTGTTTAGCCTACGATGCAGCATCTCTAATGGGAAAAGATGAGAGTGAGATAAATACAGAGGACTAAAAAAAAAAATCACTAGATTAGAAAGAAATACTTGGAGGAAACAGAAGGGTTAGATAGATATATAGCGAAGAAAAAGATTCTGCTCAAGATATTTTAGCCTTATCACAGAAACTGAAAATAGCACTCTGTTTTCCAAAGTCTGCATGTATCAAGCCTGTCAAGAGTTCTACCAAAAATCCCTGCCATTTATAAACAGGGGGGAAAAAATTTCATTGTTACACTCACATGAGGGCAGCTGCTGACTGGAATACACTGCTTCTTGCGACACTCCGTCTTGCCTTTCACACAAGCACAGATGGTACAGTTAATAGAGGACCACATCTCTCCATCCTGCAGGAGGGAAAACACGATACATCCATCAGCTGTGATGGCAGAAGGAAGCTGTTCCAGTGATTTATCGTCCTGTTATACAAAGAAAAAGCAACAATCTCCCTGTTGGAGTTATGTCATTGTTTAGTCTAAATCAATTACGAGGTGTCCACTTCTAACTGGTTGGATTGGTAAGCCATCAGGGATAATTTTTCACTCTGGTCTTTCCAGATAGACAAGTATAACTCCACACTTAATGAAGATACAATAGAATTTCCCATCAACCACCTGATTAGTTGTGTTTCCTTCTTAGGAAAAAAAAAACCTATTGAATTTGTGATTAGCCTATATCCTGGTTGTCTCATTTGGGATGACATAATTAGAAAAGTCTGATTCAATATAGCCACTGTGATTGGCATGTTTAAGTTACTGCACATGAAAATATTTGATTGTTCTGTCAGGACATAGAAAATTTATTCCCAGATGTAGCATCATTCTGCTTTAACCCAGAAACACAGCTAATACTGAATTAAAATTTAGATTACTTACAAGGCTAAGGCAGACATCTGATCTACTAAACATCTGAAAATGTTTAGAAAATACAAAAGAGAGATTACCTAAATTCTAGCAGGTACAGATACATTTGACTTGAACCCCCTCATTCCTCCTCTCTAAAGACACTATGATTCCAATGTGCTGCTAAAATAATGCTCTGGCTCAATTCCTTATGGTTTACATGTGCCAAATGAAGTTCCTAAGGTATTCCTTCATCCATTGATGGTGCAGAACTAGTCCTTTAATGGCCACCATATGGAAGCTTTTGATTTACTGCAATGAAATTAAAGTGGGGCAGATACTAACAAAATAGAGACAAAACAGGTGGTATCATGATCTGGGGAAAGAGGGAATGATTTAAAAGATCTACTAAAATATTCTAATTTAATTATTTTTGTATCAATTTTTTATTGTTTTAATTTTTCATTTTTTTTCCTTTGCAAAATCCTTCATGGTGTATATGATAACATTTTTCTACTACTATTACTTTCCTTATTACAGGTAGTCCTCGTTTAACAACCACTCATTCAGCGACCATTCAAACTTACAACGGTGCTGAACAAGAGGGACTTTTGACTGGTCATCATCACACCAATGATGTGTTTTATGTACTTGTGTCAGATACAATAACTCAAGTCCATAATCACATTGTTTATACAATAATATCAATGTCAATGTGGTTTGCTATGGACCCCCATTACTGGCCTGTGTCTCCTGAGACAGAGAGTTGTCTTCACACACTTTAAATGGTATCAGAGTATCAGCTTCTGCCTCCTCAGAGTGTTTTCAGAACATGAAAAAGTTGAATTAGGACTAACATCACTTAGATAAGATGTGAAAAGACAAGAAGAACACCACGAAGTTTGGGAAAGTACATTCCAGGTAGATAGAAATGAATGGATGATGTGAAGCAGCAGAAGAGGAACTTAAATGATAGGATTAGCAAAGCAACAAGAAAGAGATTCAGTACAAGCGCTGCTGTTCTTACCAACAATAGAAAAATACGCCTACTTATTCCTCTTAACCACCAACAATTCTATTAAGAAAACAAAACAGCATTTTCCTAATGTAAACATCCTTCATATAGTTAGGATGAGGTGCAGGATAAAAAGGAGGCACAAGAGAATGTAAGAGCAACTGGCACATGAACTCCAAATTGGCCCTTGTCTCTCTTACCCATCTCAGATTATGCTGGTTGGAATTGCAGGTTTGAAATTGGTTCCATAACCTAAGAATCTTTTTAAAAAAGACCTGAACAGACAACTGCAGATCTTAAAGACCTTTGTGAGTAATGTGAGAATGCAAATACAGTATTATCATGCTATGCATATTGATGACAAAGAAATAACCTTGTTGGAGCTTCCAAATTTATTGCAGTGGATAATCTCACTCACGTCCTCATTATTATCCACTTCCTTAAGTCAGCCGCTCTAACAGGTTGGGCTAAATGTGATTGGTGTAAAAAGCCAGTGTCTCCAAAACATATTAGTTTGATTTCTGCTCTGTGGAAAAATAACCCTGATCTAAAGCTCTGTTAAATTTGTTTTAGGCACCTGTTGCTTTACCCTTTTGTTTCATGACCCCCATCTTAAGCTTCACTTCCCTTGAAACTGATAGGTGAGAGTTAGGTATTTCAAACAGAAAACTCAAAGTCTGCAGATACACCTAAAATAATTGTGAGGTCACAGTCATTATGATAACTATGAGATATATCTCTTCTCTTTTCTATTATTTTATACATCAACCTATGTCTGTATACCTTTCTATTTCTATCGACCCCCCACATATCCCCATCAAAAAGAAAGAATAAAAACACAACTGATTGGGTCTTCTGTCTAAGACTGCAAACTAAATAGAGTCCCTTTCAATTTACTGCAAACAAGCTTTCTACATGGTGGCTTTGTACAAAAGAAAAAATGCATATTAATTAAAAGTGGCATTAGTTAAGTAACTATTCTGTTCGTAAGGAACTACACTTTTTATTCGATCTCAGAACCTCTCAACATACAGAAGGTCTTCACAATGATACAGGTTCAATAAAGAATAAGGAGTGGGAGTGGGGGTGGGGGTGGAGAAAAAGTCCTGTACATCTTGAAAAGACAAACAGGCACCCAATACTATTGGAAGTGTTTGGCAGGAATCTCCAATGACCTTGGGTGGAAGAAGGGTAGGAACAGATTATTCCAGTACAACCCAATGATATATTGGAATAATCTGATACCCCAGTGATATCCCAATCCATGAAGTACTGCAGCTATGTCCTGAATAATACACAAAAAGCTAGCTAAACTCTTATTGGCTCACTTGAAGATGGGAGTGGGAGAAGGAGTTCTTTTTTGCTAGATTGCTGCCTGCAGAATGTAGAGAAATTCTCCTTCCAGGACTATCAGAATTATGCTGAAGAAAATAATTCATAGCATTCTATGCAAATTCATAACATTCCATTCAAAGAGGCAGCTGGTCGGTCATCTACCCAGGGAACATGAGTCAGCATGCTCTACCAAGGACTGGCTAATTTGACCACGTCCTCAGGGCATTTTTACACTGTGTCCATTTGGCTAAAAACATCAATTAAAAAAATAATAGAAGCATGGTTTTGAATGTACTACAACTTGTTAAGAAATCAAATAGTCCAGTGAAGTGACCGTGAGGCACAATTTCACATGTACCTGGAAGACTTTATTTCCAAACTTGCACGCTTTTGTTTCCTCGGGCGACACATATGAGATGCACTCCTTGCAGCACTCTTCTCTGGCTTTGATGCAGCCTCCAGGAGGGGAACATTTTTTCTTACACACCACAGTGGAATCCTGCATGGAAAGAAAGACAAACGAGACTGCAGACAAGTGACAAAGTTATTCCCTCAGTTAGGATTCCGTTAGTTAAAACTGAATATATTTAGTGATTGCCAGTTTATATTACCACATAATGGCTTAGCCAGCACATTACACAGGCACCTTAAATGAAACAACACTGTTTGGAATATTTTCCTACTATCTTACCTGCACAGATCTGACCTCCTTTAATTCATATCCACAGTCAGATTCTTACACTATTGTTTGTATGCTCACTATGCCTTGTACTTGTCCAAACCCTCAGCGCTAGATGGGTGTCCTGAAATGAATGGAGTCACTGCAGGACTTCCTTTTCAAAATCATCTTTTGTATTTCTCAGGGCCCTTCAGTGGCATTAATGCTTCCCAGGGCTGGCTTCAGGATTTTAGAGGCCCAGGGGCATTCTCAGCCAGCCTGAAGCTGGAGGATACCACTAACATTTGCAGTTGCTTCTTACAAAATGAGGACAACTTCACCACCAGAGCAAAGCTTCTTGGCTACTCTTGGGACCAGCAAATGCCTGAAATGCTACCCTCTGGGAATTGACTTTAGTGGCTCTCTTTCAACCAACAACAATCTCTAGTGTGGATCTTGCAGTTGATTTGAAAGGTCCATAATCATCTTTCTGAGGGCTGACTTATACATGAGGGCAAGGGCTAGGTCGGGCAAGGTCAAAAGCAAAGGGCCTGAGAGTAGAGGGATCCATCACAATAACAATGTAAACAGTTCTCCTGCTGAAAAGCAAATGGTTCTTGGCCTGTTACGACGCATGGTTCAGAGAAAGACACAGAAGGTTTTAATCTTGGGTCTGCTCTCTCTGTATGGCTTGAGTCTTCGAGTTTGCAGTTTTGATTTTCTTCGTACTAATGGTGCTTCTAGTAGCTGAAATAAAAACTACCTTATCAAAATCTGTGTCCTTGAATCCCTGCCTGTGAGCCTTTTAGTTCCAATGTTAGCCTGGAAGAAACCTGGCAATGGATAACACCTTGTAAACTTATCTGCATTTTCTAGGTATATGTGATGGAATGGAATTATGAAGGTCAGACTCAGGGAGAAAAACATTTTCTTTCATCTCCTGAGGCGAGAAGGAGAGATAAGAGGA